TCTTGAATAGTCCCGAAAGGAAGGGGTTGGTTTGCAAGTAGACTTTTAGCAGTTCGTATATGTGTATTTTAGTGAGAAATATTATATATATATATATATATATATATATATATATATATGGGGTTTACTAATTTATTTAAGGACTTTTCTTAGTTATTAGATATTTTAATAATTTTAAAATTTAATTTAAAATAAAAAAATAAAAGGTAGTTATTTATTGATTGGTAAGTTATTACTTTTTATTATATATTTTTTAAAAGGTAGTTGTTTTTTAAAATAAAAAGTAAAATAGAAGGTAGTTGTTACTTAATAAAAAATAAAATAATAAATAATAACTACTCATTTACAAGTACATGGACCATAAATAACTATCTTTTATTTTTTTATTTTAAATTAAAATTTAAAATTATTAAAATATCTTTAAATTTAAAGTTGATTTGTTTTAATAGGAATTTTTTTTAACCTAAAACTTGGTATATTTGTTAAAATATACCAACTAAAAAATCCGTAAATTAGTAAACCCCTGTATAATATTTTAAATTGAGTTTTTATTAATTTTTTAATGAAAATAATGAAGGTAATTTATTGTTTTACATACAGAATAATATCATTTATATATTAACCACATAAACAACCTCATATATTTTAACACATGAATATAAATAAACAAAAGATAACAATTCCATCACATAATTAACAGAAAAATTAAAATATAAATATTTAATTAAAAAAATAGGAAAAATAATTTTGAATATTCAATTAAAAATATTTAAATCTATAAACTTATTTAAGCTTATAACTTTTAAACATATTATTTTTGTTTCTCAAAATTATTACTCGATATTTCTTACTAATTACATAACACATAAAAATTTAGTAACTTATATGTTACTACCTGTGTACATATTTCAACAAGTCATTCACGGAATAATATACTCATGAATCATGCTATGCTATTTCAAGTCTCATTTTCAACAAATACGATACCTACGAGTAGAAAAATAATCAATATTTAACTTGAAGGACCTAATAATGGATAATTAAATTTTAAATTATTGAATTTTATGCAAATAAAAAATGTCACTCAAAGGAAACTTTACACACAACATGAACAACAATATTTTTGTATGAACAATATAATATATCTGAGAATTTAATAAGAGAAAATTGGTAAGTTCTTTTCCTTGTTTAGGTGACAAACTAGTGTTTAAATGCATCACATTTTATTTACTAGTCCAATTAAAGTACACAACATTTTCATCATATTAACTTGAGATTTAAAAAATTATCATTCTAAAAATATTTATTCTAAACCCGAAAATTCGGTTCTTAAAGAAAACTAAAATTACATATAAAATGAAAAGAGAAACTAAATTTTTAATTAACTCTAATTTATTAAATATAAACATTTGCCCACTAATAATACATAGAAGTTAAATTCTTTATATTATCGTGTTGTTGTGTTGCTTGTGTTTTTATCTAAAATGCATACAGAAATATTCTAAATCCTAAATAGTAGTAAAAATATTAATAGATTTGTCCTACTAATTCAAGTTTTTTTTCAATCAAAATGAAGTGAAATTTGACTAAGTCGATGATCATAACCAAAAATCTCTAAATTTAACCTAATCGGTTTATATTGAAATTTGACCGTATTCATCTATGTTGTTCATAACAAAAATTTGGTGAAATTTGACCAAGTCAATTCTAACTAAAATTGACAAAGACAACTTTAATTGATATTTGACTAAGTCAGCTATAGTGAAAAATTAACCAAATTCAATTGAATCGGTCACAACCAAAATTTGATTAAATTCAACCGAATTTGATCGAGTCAGTTCTAATTAAAATTTGATTGAATTCGGTCAAATTTTAATTATAATGGATTGTTTTGTTGTTTAATCTCGTGATTATGGTTGTTATTTTGAAATTTGAGTGTATTTTTCTTTATTCATTATATTTATTCAATTTCTGCAACTGAATTTAAATGTAAGAGAATATGTTTGGAATACAGTATTAGAATCTCATTCAATAAAATTTATCTACATTTAATATATTTTCAACCACTGTTAAATCTCTTTATATTTTGATGACACTTTTCGAACATGTCAAGGAATAAGATGTATTACCTACATTTCCCATGTTTTAAATGCTTTAGTCTTGAAGACTAATACAACAAAAACTTTGATGTAAAATGTCCTTCTTCAAAAATATTTTGCCCTTTTTATTGCGAGAATTTGAATTCTGTTATACGTGATTTTCTTCTAATTTGATAATTTCTTTATTTATTTTTACTGGAGTCCTTTTTTTTCTGTCTTCGTAATTACAATTTATCATATTTTGAAAAATACTAGTTTACCTTAGTTTGATAGAAAAACTTATTCCAACTTTTCTCAAAGAGTTTTAACTTCTAAAGTTGTTTTTTTACATAAAAAAAGCATATATTAATCATGTATTCATATCCCAACGATCATATAGCTCCATTGAATCACATACAATGAGAAAAACATCACACGCATGCCAAAAACTTAAAATGACTCAACGAAAAAACAAATGTTGAACTTACTCTTATTACAAATTTGATGGGATAAATTTGTATTACTTCTAGCAAAGATTCATATAATATACTATGATCTTCAAAGAAGTGAAAGTAAGAAATAAATCTATAATAAATATAGAGAAATGATATAGAATATATTTTAGAAAAATAGTAGCTTTTATAAAATAAAATTTGATTAATTAATTTTTTTGATACGATCTTTTGATAATAAAATAATTAAGTATTGCTTATAAAATTATTTTGATTTTCTTTTTATGGTCTTTAATTCTAATTAATTTTTAAAATTATATTTTTTTTAGAGCTTGGGCTTTTCTAACATATTAAAGTTAATTAATATACATTAAATGTGAACATTTGATTAATATTTTCTTCTTCTTTTATAATGATTAAAATATAAAGAAAGCAAAATATTTTAAATAATTACGTTGAATTTGAAATTAAGGTGGGTTATCCCTAAGATGAGATAAAACTATTGAAGTACAATATGTTTATTTAAAGAAAATAAAGTTTAAGGATTCCTAAAAATAAATTAAATTTAGGACGTGCGCTTATAAGAAAAATAGACCTCAAAATTATTTGGTTCTCAGTTTTGGCCGGTTTTCATGAATTTGAATAATTATTGCGAATTGTATTTCAACAATCAGAGTGGCGCAGCGGAAGCGTGGTGGGCCCATAACCCACAGGTCCCAGGATCGAAACCTGGCTCTGATAAGGAGTGGCTTCTGCAATTTTTCTCATAATTCCTTTCTTTTTTTTTCTTTTGATCTTGTTGTTGTTCCTTGGACATTATAATATATTTATCCTCCTAAGGACATTTTATGATAAAATATGTTGTAAAATAATAAATTAAAACTTCAATTTTTTTATTCTAAGAGATTAACTAGATAACTTAAAATTAAATAAATTCAAATATTTTCTAAGAATAAATAATTTGAAATGATTCACATCCTTAAATTTATGTAATTGGTCTGTATATTATTTATTGAATTAAATTTTAGTTAAAACATTGTTAGCTTACCTAATATAAACGTATTATTGGCTTGATTGAGGTTTGAGTGTCAGAATCTTAAAATTTTTTTTATAAATATTGAAGAAAGTTTATTTCATACTAAAGTTGTATGCGATTATTATTTTGACTGACACACCATTCATTAAAGTTATCTTATTTATCATATTAGTGAGAATTATTCCTCATTTCTCATTTTCTTAAGGTAAGATTGTCTTGATCAATATTAACCTTAATAATGTTCTTTGATTGACTCAAAACATTATTTTTAAAGTGAGTTTTTTTTTTATTAGTTGGAGTTTCTCACAACAAATATTGAATATAGATATTTTTTGACAACATAGGTTGAAATTACTTCTCGATCAACATTAGTTAAAATTTGTATGACTAATATTAGAAGAAGTTTTATACTGATGTCAAAGATATTTTTTACATTTTTTATTGATGTTAATAAGAATTATTTTTTGTTAATATTATTATTATTGCAAATCATTGTCATTTTTATTAATACTAGTTCATTTTTTCCCAATGATTATTAGGGAGATTATTTTTTTAGTAAATATGAACTGCATTTTTTTAATTGATTTGTCATTAATATCCTGGTATTCTTATCGTTGTATATAGTATTTTTTTTATTAATAACACCACTATTAATATTTTTTAGTATTTTTTAAGAGTGGTAAAGTTGGTTGGGTCTAACGGCGATCCGTCAACCGACAAAAAATAAGTCACTCTAGTTAAATGTCAGATAAATTTTTACATTAATAATTTGTCTAAATGAACACATTTAAATTTAGTAAAGTTAAATTAATAATTACCGTATTCAAATAAAATATTTAAAAATAAAACAATTTAAATTTAATGTAGTTGAATTTGTTTATAAATTATGAAATTCTATATATAAACATAAGAATTACAGTCTAATAATCAGGTAACACCAACAATATTGTAGAAATTATTACAGTCTAATAATTTTCCATTCAAATTAAAAGAAATAATTTTCAATTATATTTGAGAGAGTGAGATGTTAAGATTCAAAGTGAGGTTATTTTTTTCTTAAATAAAAAGAAATAAGATGAATAATATATAGAAATAAGACTTACAAATTAATTATCTTACAGTTGAAGATGGTATTTTAATTTCTTAAATAAAATATCCGATATTTCTACTCTAAAATACGCAACAAAAAAAATTAATCACTAAAAGTTACTAAAGTGTTACTAAAAAAATACTAAGAAAATAGTGTCAACAAAATATTGAAAATTGTTACTAAAAATAAAGAATGCAAAAATCACGTTTGATAAAAAAAACAATTGAAATAAACAAATAACCAATAATGCATAAGCTTTATATCTTTAAAAAGTTATAATTAACCATTTTTTAAGTTTGAAGTAAACTAATTTTTGAACAAAATATTAATGAGTAATTCATACTCAAACAACCCCTAACTAACCCCGTTCACTTCACTCCAATTCACCGCCAGATCTCGTTCTATTCTGTTTCACTCACTGCACAAAAGAAAGAGAAATAATGGCGGTCATGGCGGTTCACCAATTCGCGCAATGTATCACTTGCCACGCCTGGAGCGCCGATCAATCTAGTAATTACTCTCTGTCTTTCTCTCTTTATATATATATATGTTTGAATTTCTTTATTTTTTCAGTTTGGATTCCGACAAATTCACTGTTTCGAGAGAGAACAGAGCACGCCTTTCGCTTTTTCTTTTACCAATTTTAGGGAATCCGATTCGGCGATGGTTTGAATTTGATATTTTCTGTTCGTCTATGGAATCTGGAGTTTTCTGATTTTGCAGATGCGATTTTGATTGGATCTGATTTTATGTTTTATTTTGAGTTTTTTTTTTATTATTATTTGAAATCGAACGGAGGCTGTGGTTTGTGGAAATTAGAAACCTTCTGCACGAAGATTGTTCGATAGCGAAGCTGATAATCACCACGTGTGGAGTGTTGATGTTTTCTTTGCTTGAATTAGGAAGCGTTTTGTTCCTGAAGCTTGGACAATTGTTCATTTTAGTGTGTTTAATTTCCTGGGGAAATTGTGTAACTTGTTTTATTGTTTTGATGATCAGTTTGAGTAATTTCGTTTGTGATTTGAATTTGTTTGAGTTTTGCGCAAACAACTGCTTTGTGATGGTGGGAGAATGGTATTGTTTACGAAGGAAAATATACTTGGTTATATTATTGTGAACCTCGGTCGTGGGTGTATAGAAAACTTGAGCGAGAGTTACTAAGTCGTGGACCCAAAGCAGAGCATAGGATGTTTGAAGAACTTGAGTGAGAGCTACTAGAAGTTGTAGTGTGCAATGTGAAATTTTTTGACACGGGGAGGGGAAAAATTAGGAGGTTGAGCAAAAAGTTTTGTTCACTTTGTTTGGATGTTTGAAATGTCAAATTGCTGTGACCTAAAGTGCTCATAAAACAGGGGTTTTGGAGCTCTTAACATCATGTGTGGTGCATTGCAATGTGCAGCTACAATTACTGCTACTCTGCTATTTGCACATGGAGGGTAAATCCCTATTTTGGCCCATGGAGGGTAAACCTAGCAACAATTGCTAAATTATGTTCTGAGACCATCTTGAAAAGGGTTCGTGTCTAACACAATTTTACAAAATTAACTTGTAAGTTTAAACTTGGATGTCACTCATATTTGATTTTAGCCATACCACTAGTCGGTGCGAAGTCTCCAATATCTATCATTTTCCTGTTTGCTTTAGAATATGGAAAACCCTCCTTTTCGTTCCTATACAGTCATTTCTTTTTTACTAGCCTGTGCTTGTCTCATCTACCCTCATGAGCTCAAGTCCATTCGTTGCTCGCAGTACCTATGGTCATTCCCAGCATTTACCAGTATTTCTGGTCACTGAGTCTTGTGTTATCTCAACCATGCATTTCCTATGCCCATCCGCACATTCTATTCTCTGGTGACCGAATCACATGTTGTCATTCAACTCCCCACTGTTCTATTCTTTTTGACTGTGACGTATTAAATAAGAATATCACTTTGCTTTTGAATATATATATATATATATATATATATATATATATATATATATTACTATATTTTTTTTTACAAGGGGTATAGTCGCCATCTCATAATCTACTATCCTTCTATAGCACCTTTTGTGGTTGACCATTCCGTGTTACAGTCCAAGATTGACAGCTATGCTCATGACATGTGTAATCGAAATATTTTTGGACTTGGAAGTTTGATCTCAACTAGCAAGATTATAGTGGGAATATTTTCTGACATTTAGTTCCTTGTTGCTAATGCATTAATATTAGGAAATTTATTCCAAGTTGCTGTTTTGGACCAAATTGGTAATTTTGTCTCAATACATAATAATTAATTGTTATAAAGCTCGTCAAACGGTGGATATAATTTAAGACGCTTCAACATTTTCCTTTCTCATGCAAATGTAATTCCCGACAGGACTTTTCCATGAATATGATATGCAAACATTTTAACATTTCATGTATCAGTATATTCTAAGATTAAGAGTACAGTTTATGGGTCTTACGATAACAAATCTATTTTTTATTGTATTTAAGGCATATTATTACTGCCTTTGTTGATTCTTCAAATATTATAATATGTTTATCTCCTTCTGTAGTGGTCGCTTTATGTCCAAACAATAATGAAGTGCACATCTATAGGTTGGTTGAAGACAAATGGGAAAAGGTGTATGTTCTTCAAAAGGTAGTATGCTAATATTCCTCCTTTTGTTTCTTTTAAAATAATGTTATTAATTATGTACTTTTGTTTGTGGCTTTGATCACAGTAATAAATATGTAAGACTGATCTTTTTAATGCTTAGTGATTAAAAAGTTAAATTCGACTGTCAGAAGTGATTGGAATGGCAGTAAGAATGAAGGCAATTTTCAAACTATAAGTTGTACTACATTTATGGTGCATATCATATTGTTCTTTGAACTACTATACGAGTCTCCAGTAGCATTTGATTTTATTTCCATGAAGTCAACTCTGATGCCAATAATATAATGATTTTTTTTTTCTAATCCAACTCTGTTTATGGTGGATTAACTAATTTGGTTGGAGATTTAGTGAATAGTTTCATTTCTTGGCTTTTTTTCTCAGCATGATCAGGTAATTTCTGGAATAGACTGGAGTGCAAGATCAAATAAAATAGTTACCTCATCCCATGATCGGAATTCGTGAGTGCCTGTGTGATTTAGAACATTAAACTTGTCATCCTAGGTCTTGGTGACTTTTTAACATTGCATTTTTTATATATACACAATACATAATAACAAGTTTAGATGCAAACCACGTGTTCTTTGTAGATATGTCTGGAACCTTGAACAATCAGAATGGGTGCCAACTCTTGTTATCCTTAGATTAAACCGTGCTGCTCTTTGTGTTCAATGGAGTCCAAAAGGTATTTAGCATGTTGCCGTGGTTCATTTTCTATATGCTTGTCTTCTTAAGTAGATATACGTCTATATCCATGAAACTTCATACACGGAAAATAATTACTCCAAAAGTTATGAGTTGTCTGCCTTCTAGAGTTAGAAAATAATTACTCCGAAAGCTGTTAGTTGTCTGCCTTTTAGAGTTAGATAAGCAATTTTTTGTTTCCAAGTCATCCCATAATTTAAAATAATTGTGTTGGGTTGAAAAGTCGCTTCCTTCTCCACCCTCTGTACGGTTAGATTTCACTTTGTGTCTGTGTTGGAAGATTTAATTACTAAGAGGCTATCATAAGCCAACTTTAGTTATGGCCTTGTCGTGCATGTCTGGTACAATTTTATACTTGATCAAATTTTTACCCTCCCAAGTCTTGGGTGCAATGTTAATATTGGAGGTTTGATCCTCCAAGGTGCCACTTCCGTCCTTTCTTACTCAAGTGTTTTCACCTTCTTTCCAATATCCTTTTCTTTTGGGGTTTTCCTATAATAATTGTCTAAACCTTTTTTGTTAACTATTTTGTAATTTGTTGTTAAAAAAGTTATATGTTATGGTTACGATTCATTTCCAATTTTTGTTTTGGCAGAAAACAAATTTGCAGTGGGGAGTGGAGCCAAAACTATTTGTATATGCTACTATGAGCAGGACAACAACTGGTTTCTCTTTCTTTCGTTGCACTTTATTACCCTGCTTCTTTAGCATCTTGGCTACAATAAAAAATAAATGTATTTAACATGGTTATTTTCAGTGTTTTAACCTCGTTAGATGCGTTTACCTGCAGTTTGACTTCCCCTAGTAACACCACCATGACTAATAGTTTATTTATTTGTATAAGAGAAGCGGAAGCTCAAAACTAGCAGTAAAGAGAAATTTCTTAAATGTGAATTAGATGGCTTGTATGGTTAAAGGGGAAATGGAAACTTACCCAATAAGTTTACAATTTTTCAACTTCTAAAGAGAATTTACCGAGTGTGTCATCGTTAATGCAGTGAGACCCCAAAAAAGAAAAAACGTTTTTTAAATTTGACACTTCAACAGTGTCTGACACATCTTGTATATATGTTGTATCTGTTAGAACATGGAGAGTTTATGAAAGGAGAAAGGTGAGGAAGAGTACTTAACGGCTAAACATTTAAGTGGGGCGGGGAAATGGTCTTTATAAAAGGACCTCTTTTATTGTTTTGAGGAGAGGGTTATGATTCTTGAGTGTGTAGACCGGTTCAAAACCTGGTGAAGGAGGTTAAGCTCCTGGTATCCCATTGTATTCTTGATTCTTTTGATGTGAATACCATACAATTATTTACCCAATTCTTGCTTTGAGATTACTGAAGTGTGTGACTGAGTGAGATAGTTAGGATTCTTACCCAGATTCCTAACAGTATCTGTGTCAGCATGAGACATGGGGACACACATTGAATTGAAGAGCTATGTCTCTGCTTCATAAAATGTCTTGGTCGTGTCCTTAACTTGTTCATAAATCTTGCCTTTGATAATATTTAATAATTCAAATTGGTGGAGTATGCTACTTTCTAGTTAATTTGGGATTTAAGATGACGTTAGTTAGAGTTGTTTTTGTAATGTATTTTCCATTTTTTTATCTTGATATTATTTTAGCAATTAGCATGTTATATGACTCAATCCAATTCATTGCTTTCATGAGGAAGTTGGGTTAAAAAAATTCCTAAACCCGGCCATTCCTGTGGACACACAGTTGACATAATTGGAACATCGAATTTCATAATAGTTCATGGATCTTTCTTTTCTTTTCATTGTTTATTCATTTTATATTTGTATCTGCTTTGCAGGTGGGTCAGCAAACTTATCAGGAAAAGACACGATTCTTCAGTGACAAGTGTTTCTTGGCATCCAGATAATGTTAGCCTGTCTTTCTCATAGATAAATTGATATTCCAAGTTTTTGTTTTTATTTTGTAGTAGCTACTGAAAGCCTTTTTTGTATACCAAGCCAGCTCTAAGTTGCATTTGCTTGGCTAGCTGAAGAATTCTATAATTTGGCTTCTTTTTTTTCGTATGGCTATATTTGTTGATTGCTATTATAATTTATATGTTATCCTATATTTTATGTATATGCCATTTATTTATCTCCTGTATTCTAAATTCCTTTTTCCTCTATTGTTTTACCAAAAAAACGTATTGGCCTGTTAAATTATTAGTTTCAGGCTCAAATTTCAGATAGTTGTGTTTTTCATGACATTGATAATTGTGTTCTGAAATATATTTTCTATGTGATGTAAAATAAATCCTATGCACAACATCTTTGTTTTTCTTTGAACTGCAGATTTTTCTTGCGACAACATCTACAGATGGGAAATGCCGAGTATTCTCCACTTTTATTAAAGGCGTTGATGCAAAGTATGATAAAAGGATCTTTGAATGGAGCCGACTTTTTCTGTTTATGTTTTTATATCATTCAAGTTTAAATGTTGAATTGGTACAGGGATTCAAAAAAGGGTACTTCATCAGATTCAAAATTTGGAGAGGTTCAATTTTAACTCTTATTCCACCTAAGATTTTTTTATATTTATGATCTACTTAATGGAAAATAAATTTGCATACATGTTGCAGTAAATACATTTCTTGTGAAGCCTGTTAAATATCCTATGAATAAATTATTCAACTGTTGTTGATTGTAAAGTTTAAACTGGCATTGTTTTTAAAAAAAGACTTTATAAAGGTTTGATGTCTGGATTTATATATTTTAGCATACTGATCAGTGACTGAATGCAGCTGAAAGAATTGATTTGTATAAGATTATAATAATGAACTGAATATCCAATTAGCTTTCTTGTCAACATTTTTTCTTCTATCTCTTATAAAACAGAAGAAAATAGAGATATTGTTAGGAATAAAAGAGGGAAGTAACCTAATACCGAACGGTAAGGAAGGGCGAAGTGAAGCCGAACGGTTCATGAGAGGAGAAACCGAACATTAAGGCAAGTGAGGCCGAACAGTAAGGACGGGGAAGTGAGGCCGAACAAAGGGACATGGGAAGCTAGAGGGACAGGGGAAGCTAGGCCGAACGGTGTGAGAGGAGAAGCCGAACAGTAGAGGCTGATTGTTTTACCACTTAGGAAGAGGTGCGAGAATGAGATACTATAAATAGTCTTTCTGTAACTCTATTAAGGGGGTATTTTTCTTTTGGGTAAAGACTAGGCATATTTGCCAGTGGAGGAAGATAGGCTTCCTTGGGGGAGATTACACTTGTAATTTTCATACTTTACAGAATTAATAAAATACTTATACATACATTTATCTTGTGTTAATCGAGTGTTGAGGTGAGAAGAGAGTATAGATTAGGTTATCGTCATAAAGTAACCTAACAGATATGAAATGAAAAGACATGTTGGCTAAGTGTATCTTCTGCTGATACTGTTTTTGTTGTCCAACAGCTCATTGTTCAGCTTGATCTCTCGTCATCTTGGACATTTGGAGTCAAGTGGTCTCCAAGTGGCAATACTCTAGCATATGTAGGTGAGGAAATTCTTTCCTCTGAATGGTTACCCTCTGCTAGCTTAAGATTGTGACTGCAAGTTAGATGCTTTTGCTGAGGTTTAGTTATCATCTTTATGTTTTAATTAAAGAAGAATTTTATAGATAAATTTTTTGGTACTATCAGGTATTCATGGCACAAATGTTTTTGTCGACACATTATATTAAAATAAAATATTGGGCTTCTATGTAAAATCACGGAATATTCTGAAATTATTTTATTTTATCAAGTCACGTTGTGTCTTTTACTTTTGAGCATGTTGAGACAGAGAGAAACAAGAGAGCATAGGTTAAATTTCGTGTGTCAAGACTACGACAGAGCTATTGAATCTATAGGGCAAAAACATATTTACAAAATATTGAGCACATAGTTACAAAATATTTAGTTACACTATATTAAGCTAATAACACATATAGAATCAATTTAATTAATCTTAATATCCACCATTATTATATTTACAATGTTCTAACACACCAACTATAATTGTTAATTTTATACAGGTCATAATTCTATGATATATTTTGTTGATGATGTTGGTCCTTCTCCTTTGGCCCAAAATGTTGTGTTCCGTGATTTGCCCCTCCGTGATGTGGGTCAGCATCCACCCTGTCTATCTATTTTTAGTTTTCCATTGTTTTCTTTTTGCTTATTGACTGATATTTTTGGAACTGGGGGAACATTATATGACATGCTTTCAGGTACTATTTGTTTCTGAAAGAAAAGTGATAGGTGTAGGATTTGATTGCAACCCAATGGTTTTTGCGGCGGATGAAAGAGGAACTTGGTACGTGTAAATTCAGATATTTGTGTTTTTGAATTATCCTATCGTGACTTTGTCCAATTTGTATGCTGCAGTATTTCCACTTTCTAATCGAGCTAGAATTATTGTGTTTTTTAATCTCTACATAATGACGCTTTTAATTATCTTTCTAGGTGTAGGAAAAGTGTTTGTTTTGTCTCCTCATTTATTTTTACTAATATTTGAATGTGTTTTTTGTTTTATCTATAGGAGTTTTGTCAGGTATCTGGGAGAACGGAAAGCAGTATCTTCTGCATCAAGATATGGCTCACAGGTAACTGAGATTCTTGCGAAAGATTATTCAGTATTTAGCTATGAGAAACGTGAATCTCCTGCTGGAAATCAATTTCATTAATAGTGGTGGCTAACTTGAAAATACTGATGGAGTTGGGGCATGGCTAATAGAGAGAATTCCTTGTCCTCCTACGTTCCTAACGCAATTAGATTTTGTCAACTTGGAAAGATCAAACAAAAATGTGAGCAAAAAATTATGCTGTCAGCTTGAGGGAATCATAACTTCCATTTTGATGTCTGATGAAGATACTGTCATCGTGCCAGCATTTAGCTGAACCCCACAAATTAATAAAAGAAAGTTGCTGTTTTAACCTACCAAGGAATATGCATAAGAATCTCTACTTGACATAGTTTTATGAAAATAAAATTTTAATTTCGAGAAAATGGGAAAGTACAATTTAGCAGAGGATTTAGAATGGAACCAACTGCTAAAAGGAGTATATTAGAATGTTGTTATGGTAAATTGTAACACAAGAGCTGTGAAAGGTTAGTCTTTTAAAATCTGCGACATAAAACGAACTGATCCAACCACCTTATCTGGTTTTCTGTGTCATCTACTAGTATTAATGCATCAATTCTAACTTTTTAATGCTATACCGGAACAAAAAAATAGCGTCGGTCATAATTTGCAAATTTGTTTATCGAGAGACAAAAAATGTAATTAAGTATTTTCCTCGTTATCTATACCTCATTGTAATGTGAACTTTGACAGCTGAATCAAGTTTAATATAGGTTGGCACAAGGTCATAAGTTCTAGGCTTGTAGATATTTCGTTTATTCTTTGTAGTATTTCTGTATATGTTAATAACTGGAGGTTTACTCTTTCCTTCATTTCTCAAATTATGTCTTTTAATCAGTTCTCTGAAGCATTTGGGAAGTTTTATGGTCAATCAAAGCATGGAGTGAACAACGATGCAGTTGAAACTTCAAGAACTCGTGGAACTGTTCATGAGAACTGTATAAAGTATGTATTTTCTTCATTAACTGTACTTTCTCGAAATGCGATTGGTTATGTTACATATTTTCTTTGTAAAATGCTAGCTTTCTCAATTCTACAATATTGTAGCGGTTTCCATTGTTCTGTTCAATTTTCATGCCTCTACTGCCTGCAACACCATGACAGTGGGATTCAGGCAACTTAGTTCATATAAAATGCTAACGACTGGGTTGATATTTGGCCTCTATAGTTGTATTATACCTCTTGGGGATCGTGGAAAAATGATTAGGCGTTTCAGCACATCAGGTTAGCGGAGAATGATGATCATCTAAAATTTTTGTTATTTTTTTGTGCTGATAATGTTAGTCTCGAGAAGGCTGCTTTTTCTAATGCTTACACATTGAACATACAGGATTGGATGGAAGAATTGTTCTATGGGATTTGGAAAATGAGCAAGACCTGTTAGAATAATAAGCTCATCAGTAAATCGTCACATCTTCATGGTAAAGCATCTGAAGTTGATTGTTGCATGAAGCATCTGAAGTTGATTGTTGCATGAAGCATCTGAAGTTGATTGTTGCATGAAGCATCATACCTTGTAAATTAATTTGGGTATGAGGGATTTAAGTGATCTCTTGTCATTATAATGAAGACTTGAAAGTGTCAGATATTTCAGCCCCTAGAGTATGTCTGTAAACTCTACCTCGATGTTAACGTATTCTCTTATTCAATATTCTGGCTGTTGTTTTCCATGCAATCACTCTCCGGAAAGGATATATAACCAGTAGTATTCTTGCAAAGGAATATCAGTTTTATTGTTAGAGGACTTAAATGTTTTTCCTTTATTCTATACGTGATAGATATTTTCATTTCTTCCATATTTAAAGTGGTTAATGTTTTCATCGTAAAACTTTTATTTCTCATAAATCCTTATGTACAATGGAAGTTTGTCCGTTAAGTATAATTTTCAAATTACTTTTTTGTACTTTTAAATATAACAATTTTTCGTTTGACTTTATTTTTTTTGTTTTCTAAGTAAGTATTAATGGCTTTTACTTTAGTCTTTGCTAAAGCTTTTGTGATTTTTAGACTGACACTTTTTTAGTTTTAGTTTTTTCAGTTTGTGTAGTTAGTTTAGCAATGACAACTAACAAGATAAAGAATAATAATTAAAATAATTAAGACGATGAAGACGAATTTAAATTAATACAGTTATTTTTAACCTCATTTGGCTCATGTTTTGTGTAAAATTTATACTATCCTTGATAGAGGATGCTTACTAAATTAAATGTATACGCAAAGTTGTCAATTTTAAATTCACAACGTTTATCCAAAGTAGTAAACTTGAATGTAAAGTAAATTGGCTAAAAAAAGCATAACATATTATTAATATTAACCCTTACATGCAAATACTATATAATTACTTTATTGAAAGGCAAAGATTTAATGCTATTGAAAGAATCATACATATGGCCACAAGTAGTGACAAAAAGTTTTAAAAACGAAAGATCAAAAGTAAGCACGATAACAGTAAAAGATCAAAGCTGCTTGGATTTGCTTCTGAGCTAAAAGTAAGATTCTATTGTCGGTTTCTAGTTCTTGAGTTATAAAAGCTTTTCGATGTGTAATTGGTGAAACAGTTTTCAATTCAAGGTGAACCGTTAGCTCTTACCTTTTGTCAATAAGTTTTGGGAATAAGAGATATCAATGACTACCACAATCGTTGCAGAGCCTTGAGAGAAAGGGTGGTTTCTCACAAAGTCTAGCACTATGTTCTTCATACCTTTTCATATTTAAACAAGCTAATTTCCCGTAAACATAAAATTTTGAAAATCATCCACTCAATAATTTTACAATGTAAAAAACCTTATTCTTGAAGTTATTCATTAAAGGATTTAAACTCAAGATATCACAGTTTAATTCCTTTATACTAAAAATCATTTTATTTATTTATAAAGAGTTAAAAATTTTAGGTGATGCTATTTCAATTTTTTTATTGCATTGTTTGTTGCTTAATGAAAATGATCAAGACTAAGTTTCTCAAGGAAACTTTTATAATAGGATTTCGCAAGGTACTGTGGTGTAGTAATCTACACTGTAGATCTTGTATACAAATACCCTTCTCCTGATAAGTTAATTATTACTTGTATGCATACAAACACCATCTAGATAATAAAAAATAATTTACGCCTTAAATTTCGACGTACCAAACTATACTACTACACTTTAAATTACACACTTTTTTTTATTATGATTTAAAATGGTTTCTGGACCCTACCCTTGTCCGTATCCATCGTTCAGGAGGAACGAAGTTTCCTCATATTGGCACGTTCTTTTGGTGGGAGCGGTAAGACATATTTTCTAAAAAAAAAGTTAATAAAAAATTGATATATATAAATTGTTTACATTTACTTATATTTTCTTATATATTTTTTTCTTTTACTTTTAAAAATATAAAGATTTTTTTTATATAATCATTATACTTTTACTTGTAAAAGGAATACTCAAATTTCATTTCTTTATTATGAACAGTAAAATATACCTTCCACACATTATCCCCGCCACGTGTCGCTGAAACATTGGCTATCCCATTCTCACATCTCAACTTGAACCCCACAAACCACGGTGGAAACAGTAGAAAACCTCCAGAACAGGTTACAGCCAGTGAAGTCTTGATCTTAAAAAGCCCTTTTATTCCGTTTGGTTAAAGTATAAATTGGCATCAAAGGAATCCAATCCCACTCTTCAAATCTCTTCTTTCATTCTCCCTTGTTTGGCTCATTGTTACACCTCTCTCGTTATGATAGCTCCCGGTCGGCGTCCACCGCCGATTGAGGTTAACCAAAAACCCAACATACACAACGTTATACAGCGCAGCCAAACGTGGTGGCAACCATAACGAGCATCTAAAATTCCCACTCTGCCCTTCATTTCTCTGTTTATTTTTTTTCCTGGGCTGCTATCCGGTGAGGTTAGGTCCATGCCAGCCCCCAAGAGCAGCCGCAACGGCCAGTCCGAGAGTCACCGGCGGAGAAGGACAACCTCCTTCCATGGCCAGGCCGCCGTGTCCGTCATTCAGCTCCGCCGTCGGAGTACGGTTTCCGACCTCCAGTCCCTCACGAGCATCGCCGGATCGGCGCCAGAGTTTCCTCCGAGACAGCCGCCGAAGATGCTGATGAAGGTAGCCGTGCCGAGAAGCCTCTCGCCCGTGCAGGTGCTGATGACACCGGAATCCACCGTCGGCGACCTCATAGAGACGGCGCTGCGACAGTACGTGAAGGAAAGTCGCCGCCCTATCTTGCCGGCCAACACAGCCTTCGATTTCGACCTCCATTATTCACAGTTTAGTCTAGAAAGTAGGTATCAACAATCTCGAACAGAAAAAATTGCTTGCAATTTTCAAAATAATTCGATGTTTCGTTTACGCTAATTTTTGAAATGATTTTTTAATGCTAGATCAGCTTTGAAAGTATGTATAAACTATTTCATCTTTGATTTGATGATTATGCGTTTTTTCAGGTTTGGATAGGGAGGAAAATCTGATGGAACTTGGATCTCGGAACTTCTTTATGTGTCCGCGAAAGCCTTGGACGACCTTGGAAGGTGTAACGACGCCGTTTGCGTCCTGTGCCAAAGAAGCGGAGAAGTTGAGGGAAAGTAGTGGTGCTGGTGGCTTTACTTGGTTCAAGCTCATGCAATTCATGATGTGATCGGTTGGTAGTTATTGTTTCTTTGTTTGGATTGATTTTATTATGACGTTAATTGTAAAAAGAATAATAGGTTTTGGAGTGAAAAAAAAAACAAATTTGTAAAATTACATGATTTTCAACCCATCATACCTTGGAAAATTAAATTTTTATTTGTGTAAACTTTATGCGTAAACACTTTTTATTTTGTGAATTGTGTAAGTAAAAGGTAATCATGACACCAATTTTATTCTTATTTTATTAATTAAAGATTGTATTGTTTTGAATTATTAAAATATAAACACAATACATCAGTGCGACTAATGCCTCTCGTGTACAAGTGTCGCTTCTTCATTTTACTATTTCGCTTACTTATTTTCTTTTATTAAAAAAATAGTAGACTTTGTGTGATATAAAATGGTATTCCTATCCATGATAAGTATATTATTCTTATGTTTATTAAAACTCTCATGATTACCTACATTTATGAAAATAAAGTGATGGATGAAGTGGAAATTATTAAAGAGCTTGATGATGATATTATTTATAAAATAAGATTAACAGTCTAATAACGTTTCTACCTCAAGATTACTGTTATTATTGTTTGGATAGTTACATTTAAGATATTATGTAATATGGTAAGAATGATAATGCGTGGAGTGAGTTACTCTTCCGATCCTTAAATAAAAGTGTGGGAGAGATTCAGTTTTGAGTTTATTATTCGCTTTAGTCAATTCTACATAATTTGCAATTTAAGTAAGCCAACGACGAGGTGGATCGACGGAATAGCCTACATAAATTTAAATACAAAAAAATTACATGTTTTTAATATTAAATAAAAATACAAAATACTCTAATAAACAATATGATTATTTATAATTTATATATAATTATAGAAGTTTTTATTTAAGCATTTAAATGCTCATAATTTCATTAAATAATTAAAAAATATATAATTGTTATTTTATTTTAAATAAATGTTTTATTTATTATGTGTCAATTTATAGAGTCAAGGAGGAATGACAACGGGTCAGACAATCTATCGCATAAAATTGTACACGTTACTCGACCTACTATCGGTTGGATATTCGTATACAAAAAAAATTTGCGAATTTTTTCTACTCACTGATACTCGTTGGATACCTATTTTCAACCTGCGAATATTTTAAAAAATTATTTTATAAGTTTTTATATAAAATCCAAATTAAATTGTAAAAATAATACAAATAATACTTATAATATATATCCAAATAAAGTCAATGGATAAATAAATAAAAGTTAAAACATATATCCAAACACAAAATTTTAAAAATAATTATTCTAAAAATAATTTATGTTTCTTCTCCAATATCTTTATTTTGACAACTTAATTTCTGAAGTAAATAAATACAAATAAAGTCATCAATGACAAAGTGACACTATTAATATTTATGTATAACTATAGAAGTTATTATTTAAGCATTTAAATAAATACGTTAATTTAATATTTATGATTAATGTTGCTCATAATTTCATTAAAAAAATTAAAGAAAGATATAATTGATATTTTATTTTAAATAAGTGTTTTATTTATTATATTTTGGTTTATAAAGTCGAGGTTATAAGTCTTTCAAATTCATGTTACTTTTCGTTATAGTCATCACTCGTCTTCGTTATTTTCAATCACTGGAAAGTTATTTGTAGAAAGTACGTCAAATTTATATTTATAGATTTCGAAATTAGTTTTAGATTAATGTCGGTCCAATTAGAGTCTAACTGATAATAATTATGTTTTAGCTTAAGTTAATAATCATTTATTATAATTATTATTTAAAGTTGACTGCTAAATCTACTAAATATTTCTGATTAGTTAAACCGTAGAGTCATAGATTAATAATACATATTAATTACATTTAAATTACGGCTTTTTTAATTTTTCTCTTTAGACTCTGTATTATGTTTGGTAATTCAAAATAGTAATTGAAATTAAAAACAAACAATAATGTTATAGAAGAAAAAACCTTAATTGAGGTTTAGATAAATATTTCCAATACATATTTTTTTAA